TCCTATCAAAGTCATGAGGTTAACCCCTTGTCCTTTGGAGTTCAAAAGGATGTGTCCAAGAACTGAACACGTCCATATCTGTGCTTTATTTATATCAAGACACAGTTTATTCCCAAGACTGTCAATGGTCTCCATACCCCAGAACTAAGTCTGTAGACCATCGTGGCTAAAAGTATGGACTCTGGAATTCAAAAGCCTTAGAGACTGAATTCTGACTCTGCCACTAAGTATGTGGCTTCAACCAAGTCATCTAGCCTTTCAGAGCGTCAATATTCTTATCTGTAAAATGGAAATAATGGAAAAAAAACTATTTCTTGGAATGTGTGAAAATCACTCATGTAAACTGTGGCTCTCCAGGCCTGATACACAGAAATATGCCTAGTACTTGCTAATAGTTAATATTGTGTCAAGTTTCCCCAGACTGAACCTTAGGGCCTGGTCAGTTTCTCCTGGACAGCAGTCATTCTGACAGCTTAGAATCTGTAAGTGCCCACATACCTTCAGAACCTCAACCTGCTCTTAGGAGCAATGTCTGGACACCCTCTGAGGATCAGAAGCACGAAGGGAGATCAGATGGTGAGAGGATAAAGACTATTGATATCCAGGAGAGGTTGTAAAACCACTTGGGCACACCCAGGTTCAAGACAAACACAGAGGCCATCATATGAGGGTGGAAGAAGAGGTATTTACTTAATGAGGCACCTTCCAGTTCTCATGGTAAAAGTCTACACTTGTTTGGAAAAGAGTTATGTCTGTTTTATGATTTTATTTTTTAAAAAGGGAAACTCAACAACAAAAATGATGATGAAAATGACAGTTTTACTATGGAAAACAGGCTCCTGCTATTCTCATCAGACCATCTGACAAACTTCCCAAGGGAGTCTAAAGAGGATGCCCTGGGGAGCCGCCAAACTGCAACTGCCCTGGAAATCAGATTTAAACAGCTCAGACGCGAGGGCAAAGGGCGAGAGTCATGCATCCCTAAGCACCAGCCCTTCAGCCCGGCAGAGGAGCACAGACAAAGCTGTCCCGGAAGAATTGCTTGGGAGGTGCAGATATCAAGAATAAGATCCTGCTGGCAGCGCTGGGAAACACAGCGGCAGTCAGCACACACTGGCCCTGGAAGTCAGCAACCGGCTGGCTCAGGCTGAGCAAAACCTTTCTGTGAACATGGCATGAAAGCGGACCTCTCAGAGGCTCATGTTCCCTGAAGGTGAAAGATCAACAACAAAAAACGCATTAACCCCTTTCCTGAATGATATTTCATGGCCATCAAAGTCCCATCAAAGGAGCAGCTCATGTCAGCTCATGTTCACAGGCCGAGGGGAGATGCTCCCAGCAATTTAGACACATTGGCAGTCCCCGGGAGGAGGACGTAGCCTATGGGGCCTCTCCATGTATGAAGGGCAGCACTTTGCATAACAAATGTTCCATGCATAATCTTGGAACATTGGCAGAGCTCTTTCTGAACCCAATAATAATGATAATTACTCTCTGTCCTAATTAAGGAGAAAATAAAGTAGCTAATACTTCTACAAATCAACAAGTAGAATTAGTATGATGTATAAGGAGCCCTTGAGTTTGCATCAGGAGACTTCCTCCTCTGTGTGATCACGAGTATATCATGTTGGCCACCTGAGCTTTTGTTTCCTCATCTATAAACCCTGTCTTTTTTTTTTTTTTTTTTTTTTTTTTTTTTTTTTTTTTTTTTTTTTTTTTTTTTTTTTTT